GGGTGTCCAAGACTCTCACCGGTCTCTTCTCATATAAGGCATCATCATCTACCTCTAAGTCGGTCAAATCCAACACATGCAATGGATCAGGCTCGTATTTTCGAAGCATGCTAATATGAAACACATCATGAATCCTAGAAAGCTGTGGCGGCAACGCTAAACAGTAAGCTACCTCTCCAATCCGCTCAAGGATCTCAAAAGGCCCAATAAATTGAGAGGACAACTTCTCTCGCTTCCCAAACCTCATCAAACCCCGCTTAGGTGATATCTTCAAAAAGACATGGTCTCCCACCTCAAAAGACAAAGGTCTCCTCCAACAATCGACATAACTTTTCTGACGACTCTGAGCCGTAACTAACCATTTACAGATAAGTGCCACTTTCTCTGTCGTTTCTCGAACCAACTCTGGACCTAACAAAAGTGCATCACCCACCTTGGCTCAACACAAAGGAGATCTACACGGTCGACTATACAAGGCCTCAAACGGTGCCATGTCATTACTTGAGTGGAAGTTATTGTTATAGACAAACTCCACTAAAGCGCACACGACCCCTTGAAGTCAAGGACACAATCTCCAAGACTTTATCGCTGCTCTATCAGTTCGAATTCTTGACCTCCCTTACCACACCCTATAGTGTGGCTACTAAACTATTGAGCCAAACTCCAATGTTTAAAATTATTGTAAAGCTAGAGATCCAGAATTTTGTGTCATAAATTTTACATAGAATTAAAATGGTTGATTGTGATTCAATTAACTAAGAAAAGTGTTTGAGTGTACAAGGTGCATACCATATGCGTTTGCTTAAATTCTCACAAATATATGTAAATTGTCTCACAAACTCATGTAAGTTCTCACTAATATATGTAAGTTCTTGCTAATATATGTAAATTGTGATTTCTTAAATTTTTATAGATTAAATTATGTATATTTATAAAAACTTAAGCGATTTTTTAAGATAATTTATGTATATTTATGAGAACTTATGTAAATATATATGGTATGTACTTGTACATTTAAAAATTACCTATTAAGATATTATAGAATTTATGCATAGAATAAATCTCAATCACATATTAATAATCTTAGAATAAAATTTTGAGTAAAATTTTAAGTTTGTAATTTTGTTGTAAAGTTTAACTAAAAAGTGAGTGCAATTTTTTTCAAGGTACAAGTAACCCACGCGAAACGCAAAGTAGCAAGAAAGAGAAAGAGGGCACAACGACAAGTTAAACAGCTAATCAAAGCAAAAACAAAGGTAGACGAGAACAAAGGGCAGTAACAGTGTACTAGTAGTAGCTGGCTTAAACTGTCGTGCTTTTTAGAACACGAAACGATGGATTTATTTGATTTGTAATTTAAGATATAATTTTATAAAAGAAAAATTAAAATTTTGTTTGATTTAAATTTTTTAAATTTTTTTTTTAAAATCACATCAATTAATCACTTTTTCTCTCTCTTTTATCATTCTCAATCACTTTTTTTTCTTATTCATATTTAGTTAATTATAACAAAATATCAAATAATCTCAAACTCCCAAATTCTAAAATTATTTTTAAAATATACAACTAAATAAATTTAAAAAAATTCTAAATTCTCTTTTTAAATTTTTTTTTTTAAAAATACAAATCAAACGCATAATATTTTTTTTTTTTTTTGTCACTTTCTAATGAGAGTGAAAAAGAAAGGACTTATCATCATCATGGGAGACCACTTTAATTTGTTGGAATTTGGTGGTGCATGTGCTTTTGAAACATCCTCAAATCATAAGAACTTGAGTGAGAGTACTTGCGTACAATATAAGTAAATTATGAGTTCGACCTCTCAAATAAAATAAAATTAAAAAAAGAAAGGAAAAAGAGAGGCCTATCCGCTTTGTCTGCTGGCACCGCACATGGAAAAAAAATATTTTGCGCAGAAAATATTTTTCTACTTTAATTATTCCTTTGAAAATATTTGTGTTAGTAGTAGTGTTTCCCGTGTTTCTAGTGTTGGGATGGTGGGGGGTGAGGTGATAGAAATGGTGAAATCATTAACTAATTATTTCTTCTCAACACGTCATCATTATATTTAAAAAGTGAATTAAAAAAATAAACTTCTCTATCATTTTTCATATTAAAAAATACGACTCTGATTCATAACTCGAATTCGGAAGCTCGAATTTGCCTCGAAGAAGAAGAAGAAGAAGAGAAGGAGGAAGGAGGAGGACTGGAGAGGAGGGGGTCATCAAAATCAGGCTGGAGGAGGCGGGGCTGCGATGATTGGAGCTGCTGCTGCGACGATCGGAGCTGCTGCAACGATCGGAAATGCTGCGACGATCGGCGGCTGCGGAGGCACAGGAGAGGCCCTTCTCTCCTCTCCTCTCTCTTTCTCCCTCTCTCCTCCTCTTCCCCTCTGTTCTTCTCCTTTGTTCAACGAAGAAGAAGAAGAAAAGAAAGAAAGAAAAGGAAGAGGAAAAAAAAAGAATCGCAAAACGACGTCATTTTGCGATTCAAGCCAAAATCGGGTCACTTTTTTCGAGCTACCAGTCATTTTTCTAAAAAATATTTTTCATTAAAACAAAACAACGGGTTAGATTTTTGTAGTGTCTCATACGGATCATGTATTTCTTTGATGAAAATATCATTACCTGTTAAGGATGGAGAAAAAAAAAATTGTTAGAAAACATTTGCATTTTAGATGTTTTTAATTTTTCTTTATTTTTGTGTTGTCAAATATAACAATAAAGCAAAATTTCAAAGAATCTTCAAAACATTAGAAAGCATCTTAAAATTGATAGAATAAACTATACCGTAATTCTCTTCACATCTGATCATCACTCAATGGATGATAATATACATTTCCGTAAGATGAGGGACAATAATGAAGTTCTAATTTGTAAACTAAACGTTACAATGCTTCATTGTGACCATTAAAAAATTGGGTCACTTTTTTCGAGCTACCAGTCATTTTCCTAAAAAATATTTTTCATTAAAACAAAACAACGGGTTAGATTTTTGTAGTGTCTCATACGGATCATGTATTTCTTTGGTGAAAATATCATTACCTGTTAAGGATGGAGAAAAAAAAAATTGTTAGAAAACATTTGCATTTTAGATGTTTTTAAATTTTCTTTATTTTTGTGTTGTCAAATATAACAATAAAGCAAAATTTCAAAGAATCTTCAAAACATTAGAAAGCATCTTAAAATTGATAGAATAAACTATACCGTAATTCTCTTCACATCTGATCATCACTCAATGGATGATAATATACATTTCCGTAAGATGAGGGACAATAATGAAGTTCTAATTTGTAAACTAAACGTTACAATGCTTCATTGTGACCATTAAATTTGTAGGACACAACACCTATAAATTAGGGGTGAAGAGCAGATATATCGATCCGTCAAAACCGATCGAATCGAATCGATCCGCCGCATTTTGAACGGATGCATGATGACGAGCGGATGATTGCGGATTGATTTTTTTCAATCCGCCAATTTGGCAGACGGATGGCAGATTTGAGGTTCTTTAGGCCGCAACCGAACCACCAAACCGCGAGCACCCTTAGTAATTTATAAGACTTTATGTTTTCAATTTTTTTAAATATTTTGTTTGTGTTTTCAATTGAAAAAAAGTTCAAATATTCTGTTGAAAAAAGTTTTCAACTTGAATATATTTTTTGAATTGAAAAAAATAAACGTATTATTTATCTATATTTTTTTATTTTTAAATCTAACTCTAAAAGTTTTAAATAGAAAATATGATATATGCTAGTTGGTTTTTGTTTTCAAAAACATATATAAATGTAACAATACAGAGACATACAATCTCTATTATTGCTCTATTCATGGTTTTGGTGGTTTGAATTGTTTTTATATTTTAAGAACCACAGATTGTAATATTTTATGTGGATGAGATATGCTGTGATTATAATATGTGGATGAGGCATGCAGTGATTTTGATATTCTAAAGTTTCAAACTTTCTTTCTTTGGATGAGGCATGCAATAATTGTAATACTTTTTTACGTCATTAACTGTAATACTTTTTTTTTTATTTTTTTGAGGAAGTGCACAAGTTGAACTATGTTGAAAATTTATAAAATTTCAAACCGCCAAACCGATTCGCATCCATCCGCCAAACCGTCAATCCGCTCAATCCACATCCGCCAGATTAGCGGACGGATGTGGATTGATTTTCTCCAATCCAATAATTGTAATACTTTTTTAAGTCATTAACTGTAATACTTTTTTTTTGTTTTTTTGAGGAAGTGCACAAGTTGAACTATGTTGAAAATTTATAAAATTTCAAACCGCCAAACCGATTCACATCCATCCGCCAAACCGTCAATCCGCTCAATCCACATCCGCCAGATTAGCGGACGGATGTGGATTGATTTTCTCCAATCCACTAATCTGATGGACGGATAGCAAATTAGAGATTCCGTAGCCGCAACCGACCGATGCCCACCGCTAGTATAAATATATGGCTGGAGGAATTGATGGGACTTACTCAATAGTAATACCAACTAATCTTTGTATTCTTTGTACTTTTGGATGGCCAATTCTTCTTATGTGATAAATATCTTCACAGGATTATTTCATCATTCACCATTGTTTATTCTCAAAAAAATTAGGATCTAAAAAGCTGTGACTAGCATGACAATTTAAAGGTATACAAGGGCGAAACAAGAGAAGATGATTGTTTGTTGCAAGAGCATGGAAAGTGACTCAACAATTAAACTATTTAACTCATCTAAACTTCACCAAAAGAATTTCATAGAATATATATATATATATATATATTTGTTTATTACTTGGCAAAAGCTTCAATTTTTCAAAAACCCTCCTCATATTTTGATCGTCTCTATTTTTATACATGACATAAGATTCTTTATTTTATTTTGATCTCTTTATTTTGTTTTCATGCATGACATATTACATCATAATAATTAACACATCATTACAAATTTTAAAAAATAATTTAATTACTTTTAAACTTAAAATTTTCACAACCATACTAATCACAAAATAAAAAATTATAATCCTATTCATAAAATCAAAATGATCTAAAATAATAAATACATTTAAAAGAAAGAAAAAAGAAAAAAAAAACAGAGTGAAATCGAATATAATAATGGTCTATTGGTTTCGCCCTTGTCTAGGCTCCACAACGGTTCGCTCATGCGAATCACACACTTGCGTATGGAACTTGCAGCCAAACTTCTTCGTGAGCGACCTCTTCCAGCCTGCGGGTGGGCCCAACTTATCAATCGCCTTCTTCATCGACGAACACTCCCGCTCCAGCTCGTGCACCCGCGACCTCATGCTATCCATGTCTAGTTTCAGCACCTGATTTTCCCTCACCGCCGCCCTCCACACGGCGGTGGTGGTGCTATCTTCCGCTTGCGGAGCCGCAATCGTCGCCGCAGCGTTCGAGCCTTCGTCTCCTACTTGTTCTTCCTCCTCCTGCTGCACGTTCGACTGCCTGGGGAGATCCACCGAGGCTGCGTCGGTGGCGACGAGATTTCCGGCGATGGCCTGGCGGAGCTGTAGCTGCTCGAAGAACAGCACCTGAACCACCGCGCGCAGCGGGAGGCGCTCGTTCTGCGCCGCGTGAGTGCAGGCCTCCAATGTCAGTTTCTGGCAGTCCATCACGCCACAAATCTTCTCCCGATCGTCCTCCGTTAACCACGGATGTGACTGCATATGAGTGAGTAGGGTTGAAAAAATCACAAACTCGTTCGATTTACATCAAATTTTTTTTTTTTTCTTTTTTTATACAAATGAACTCCTGACCTCCCCTCTTCACTCCCTAAGATGTGCTACTAGATCATTGGGCGAAACGCAATGTTTAGATCAAATTGCTTAGTTTGATTTGATTTTTAAAATAAACAAACAATAATTTAAGGTTTGATTTGTCATTTTATAGTTATGATTTGAATTTGAAATTGAATATATATGTATATGAAAAATATTTTTGACAGTACTAATTGGCCATGTTTGATTCACAACACTAATAGTTAATAATCCTATTAAATTAGTGTGGTATTAGTTATCTCACCCCTACCCCATTACTAATAATCCTACAAATTTGTTGGATTAATTATCCATTGGATTAATAATCCTAAACTAAAATGTCAAAACAAACATAGGATGATTGGGCCCACGGATTAATAATTCCAATCTTATGCTTTAATCCTTCCAATCAAACATTCCAATTAAGTACTCTCAATCCATGGCAACGACATAAATAAAATGTACCATGTGGAGAGGTGGACCTATATTCTTGTATCTATCCCACTTTATTAGGGGACAAAATAAGAGTACTATATTGATAAAATATAACATAGTTTATATATATATATATATATATATATATATATATATATATAATTTCCTTTGTTAGTTAATACTATATTGATAAAATATAACATAGTTTATATATATATATATATATATTTTCCTTTGTTAGTTAATTGGATAGTATCCATTTTTGTACATCAATTGTTAACCTATTGTTCTTATAACCATTATCTAAATTATTTTTATTTATAAAATAATGGCATATATATTGTTTGATGTTTGAATAGATTGTGAACAATAATTTATAATTTTTTCGTAAATGATAAATAAAAAATAAAAAATAAATTTAAAAATCATAATTCCAAACTAAACACAATTTATTAGTTGGGTCTAGTTTGATTCTCAAGTGATTTAGTTTAGTTCTAAATTGTTTGTAGTGATTTCTTTTTGATTTAATCTTAAATTGAACCAAATTCAACTATGCGCACCCTTAGAGAGACAAGCATAGTTTTAAATACAGCAATACTAGGTATCATAAAAAATCTTTCATAAAAATAATCATAAAAATTTTGTAATCTATATATACTAATTATCACATATTAATCAGGATAATCTAAGAATCATAACTCTTATATCGTCATTTTCATTAAAGAATTTTCATGAGAGCTTAACTTTTCTCTTCTAAATATTGGCCATTACATACCATATTGACTGGTACTTAATAGCTTTTGAGTCGGGTATGGTGGTGTAGGCCGATAGATTTCTTTTGGTTACATATCGGATTATAACTGTTACAAGAACCATTACAATCCCACACAGGCTCAATATCCATCCCGTTAATGATTTCCGATACTACAAGTGCGAGCTATGGTCGAGAGAGACACAAGTTCACAAGACAGACACTATGAGAAAGACACAGTCGTACCTTGAGGTAGACATCGACGGCTCTGTAGAGACCATCATCGAAGATCCTGGCATGTTGAGGTAGAGCAACAGCGAGTTGGTAGAACTCTTCTGGCTTCAAATTAGCATCCGAAGCAATCTCCCCGAGATAACCGTCAATCAATTTTCCAACTGACATCAGATCCGCCATTCTAACTCCACTATACTCTTCTTCACCTTCGATTCTCGCTGCAAATCTCTCCTCCGAACCATCCAGAAAGTAACCTAAGATCCTCTCAACACAATGAACATCATATAGCGTCTCGTTCAGATACGAATAGCTCGGTATCAAAAGATCGTCTAGCGTAGCTTGTTCAAGCTGTGATCCAATCTTTCTCTCCAAAGCGACTCTACAAGCATCGGAAGCTTTCAATATGTTCGCTGTCCTCAACAATCCGAATAAAAACCTCGTAGTTGTTGAAGATCTCGAACTCTTTTCCACAGGTAGATTTTCGATTATAGTCTCCAACAGCTCTCTCTGTTCGTTCTCCGAAGGAATTGATGATGACGATGGCTTTCGCTTTGAACGTAAAATGCCTGGAATGTATCTCTTCGCGTAGCAAATGAGACAGTTCTCGATGATATCTGGACTCAGATCTCGAGCTTTCATGGCAAAAATCAAGCGTTTGAATAGAATTAGACCGAGATGTGCTAGTTCGTCGAACCAAGAGTCTGCTCCGGTAGCTCTGCCGGTGGTTTTCCGGCCTCCATTTCCGGCGGGATTTTCATTCACCGGCCATCCGAACAAAGACGGATCTGTGGAGAAAGCCCTAGCGGCGATGGAGTCGATGCATCTCTGAACAATGCCGAGAGTCTCCGCCATAGGCATCAATTTTTCGCATGACTTTAGGGTTTTGATGGAGTCCTTGATGCTTTTGAAGACGGATTGGGAGAGAAATCTCTCTGTTTTGGAAATGAGATTGTCTTCAGAGTACTCTTCGGTCATCTCCAGAACCTCTCCGGCGCAACGGAGAGGAGCGACGTTTGAAGACGAGAGGCCAATCTTGACTCCGTAACAGAACTTGGCTGCGGTCTCGAACGCCTCTGAACCACCCGGGAATTCTGGAAGAGAAATGTGACAGTAGATATCTTCTTCTTCTTCCTCCTCTTCTTCTTCGATCTCTCGCTCATCACCATCTTGTCGTTTTTGGAGTCTAGTAGGGTTTGTCTCTTGCTCTGTTATGAGCTCGTGAAGCTTGTTGCTTTTCGACATCAGAGGGAACTGAAATCAAATCAAACAATTAAAACGCATTTTTAGCCATAGAATTTGAAGAGAAAGTATAGAAAGTCTAGTACATACAGACCTTGTGGAGATGAAAGGCCATGTTTTCGACTTCGACAACGACATCGCTTGGTAACCCAGTGGTGCAGAACCTGTAAGAAAATCAACCATTCCGTCAGTCAGTGCTCTCTCGACAACATAATGGGTTGAAAGAAAAACTTGCATTTGTGATTTGTCTTACCATGCTTGGCCTTTGGAAGCCATTGATAATAGTAGAAAGAAAGCTGTGAACAAGAGTTGAATGTCTAAACCAGATCCATTTTCAGAGAACAATAATGAGTGAGTTCTTTTCGATCGTATACTTTACTTTACTTTACTTTAGCATAACTGAAAAATATAAGACGGAGCTGCTGCTGCTGCTACTGCTGCTGCTGGGTTTTTGAGGAAAAAGTAGCAAAATGAGGAGGGAGGGAAAGGTGGAGCAGAGCAGGTAGGAAAAGTATTGGGAATCGGGAAGGTGAGAGAAAGGACAAATGGGGCTTTAACAACAAAAATAAAAATAAAAATAAAAAAATAATAAAAATCTCAAAAATTTTATTAAATTGTTTTTATCAAATATTTTATATAAATATAAAAGGAAAAATTACAAACACCCATCTAGATTTGGTAAAAATATAAATTTTTCTTGAAGTTTGAGAAATTATAAATTACTCTTGAGGATTAAATTTTCATAACAAATTAAGAAAAATTATGAAAGAATCTACTATATGAAAATAAAAACTTCATGGGGCAATTTGTTATGAAAATACAAATCTCAGGGGTGAGATGTAATTTCTCAAATTTCAAAAAAAATCTATATTTTTATCAAATCTCGAAGAGGTGTTTATAATTTGCCCATTATAAAATTTACATATCTCACATCCAAATATAAAATATTTAATAAAAATTTTATTAAGTTCTAACATTACCCTTTTAACAAATATCGAAAAAGTGGATCAATATGCACTGGTTGGCATTTTCTTTTCCGAAATTGCTCTCTCTTTCTTACTTTTCTTCTTGTTTTTTCTTGACGTTTTTCTCTGTCTTTCTTTCTCACTTTCTTTGTTCGTTAGTTAAGGTGGGGATTTAGAAAAGGACTGACTTTGAATATACCTTTTTGAAGGACATAAAAATGACCGTCTTCAAATCATTGAATTTTGATCTACATCTGGTAACACCCAACAACGAGCAAGGATCCTCTAGAGTGATTTTTTCCTAAAATTTTATAGAGTGTTACATTGTGTGGTTGAGATTTACTGACAAATCACATCAATTTTTCTGATGTGACTTGCCAATAAATCTCAACCACATAATGTAACACTTTAAGAAACTTTAAAGAAATTTCACTCTAGAGGATTCTTGGTGCCCAACAACGCATTCCTACCAGCTGCTTTTAATTGGTTTTTTTGCCTTTCCAATTTACCTACACCTCCCTACCTTATGGGTAATTTGTAATTTAGTTAAACTTTAAGGAAAATGATGTAATTTATCTTTTTTTTTAAATAATAATATTTTATATATCAAATAATATAGAATTGAAAAAATTATAAAAAAAAATTCTCATAATTTTGATCTTTATAATAAAATAAAATTTTAATTTTAATTTTTTATTTATTTTTAATCTAGCCCCCATTTGACAAGATGATTGGAACTAATTTAATTCATAAAAGATAAAATAAGCTTAAAAATCAATAAAATAAAATTTCACATTCAAATCATAATCATTTTTTCCTCACAAAATTACAAAAAAAATTAAAAATTCATCACAAACGGAACTTTTTTAATTAGGTTAAAAAAATCAAAAAAATCATACTAAAAAAGTTTTTTTCCAAACGAAACCTAAATCATTTGTTGATCCAAACCCTAAACAATTTGCCTAATACAATAGTCCACGTTATGTAGGAATAAAATATGATAATAACTTATACACTGTTATTTTTGAATTTTGATAATGAATTGTAAGTATATACATTTTCCTCCATGTATAGAAATGATCCAAATTGTTTATGTTTGAAAACTCAAACAATTTGAAGTGGCCTTGGACATTGTAGCTGCCGACAGTAATTTACATTTTGAGTTGTTTTGTTTAGTGCCCTTTTCTGGGGCCAGAGCGTCTGATTCGGAAGTACTAAATAAGATGAATGGAACGAATAAATGATATGAAATTGTAAGAGATCATAAATAATAATAATAATAATAATATTGACATTAGAATATGAAATGGGTTTCCAAGCTTGGCCCATTTTCAGCCGGGTCAAGCCCCCCCTTCCACAATTTCATATTCTACGGTTCACATTTAAGCATCTAGTAGCTGCCGACAGTATTTTACATTTTGAGTTGTTTTGTTTAGTGCCCTTTTCTGGGGCCAGAGCGTCTGATTCAGAAGTACTAAATAAGATGAATGGAACGAATAAATGATATGAAATTGTAAGAGATCATAAATAATAATAATAATAATAATATTGACATTAGAATATGAAATGGGTTTCCAAGCTTGGCCCATTTTCAGCCGGGTCAAGCCCCCCCTTCCACAATTTCATATTCTACGGTTCACATTTAAGCATCTAGCAACCAAGTCTGAGTGCTCACATGCATAACATGACCCAAATAACATAACTTCAACAACATCATCATCCGACGGTCTGAATAGCATACATTTTGAATGTTTGAATGTTGGTGCTATCTAACCATTAATTGCAGCATATCTACCCACTGCACATACATTAATTGTCATCTAATCGCCTGTGTGACAGGAGAGCTAGATCAATAACATTCGCATCACATACCAGACAAAGGATTTCACTTCTTTTTAAATTAACCATTTCAATTTGAGGGAGTAGTTGTGTTTAATAGACTCATTTTAGAATCGATTTTACTGATTCAAATCGTTCACTTTTAAAATTTATTGGGCAAAATATTCATCTAAAAAATTAAGATAATTGGATACCGATAACTATATGCTATGAAGTGCGGACATGGATACAGATACAGATACGGATACGGACATGGGACAAGACAATTTCTAAAAAAATGGGGACATGGACACTGCGGGGGACACAACAAATTTTTTTTTTTTATATATGTTTTTATGTATTATGTATATTCATATTACATTGATCCTAAATCAAAATTAACAAACACTAACATAGTAACATTAATTCGATAAATATAACCACTAAATTTAAACTAGACATTTTTCCTATAAATTATAACCATTATAAATTAACATTAACATTAGAAGGGGGGAAAAAAATACAGTGTATAAATATATATAAACCTATAATTTAAATAAATAAAAAAAACAATTTTATATATATATATACATATATATAAAACAGTTTTATATATATATACATATATATAAACGTATAATTACAAAATAAATAAATAAACGTATATATATAGCCACACAGTCGAAAAACGTATAATTACAAAATAAATAAATAAACGTATATATATAGCCACACAGTCGAAAGAGATATATCCATATATATATATATAAACGTATAAAAAAATAAAAAATAAAAATCAGTCAATTTACTCGAACGACAGAGAAAGAGAGAGAGAGAAAAAGAGACAGAAAGAGAGAAAGCGAGAGCGACAGAGAGAGAGAGAGAGCACGAGGCTTACCTTTGAAGACGACTGATGGAGATCGACTAGGTGGAGGATCGACTGATGGAGATTGACTAGGTGGAGGATCGACTGATGGAGATCAACTGAGGTGGTGGATCGACTGGTTCAAGTCGGCGATAGGTACGATTAGGGCTCCATTCCCTCGTTTGTCACTCTATTTCTTCACCCTCTTGATTAGAGCTTTAGATCCTTGCTGTTGTAGTTTTTTTTTTTTTATTAATTTTTTTTTACTTTTTAAATATTACACTTTGACCCCAAATAAATATGATAAAATTAAAAATGAGCCCCGCCGTAACCCATGCCGTGTCCCTTACAAAAAAAAATTCATTAAATTAAAGGAACACGCCATCTGGCATGTCCCATACGTGTCCACGTGTCAGACATTGCCACGGCACCAATTTTGGAGTGTCCATGCTCCATAGACTATATGTTTGAATTATATTTGTATTACAAAAAAATGAATGAATATTTTTGAAATTATATTTGTATTTATTTTTTAAAAATAAATATGATTCAAATATATAGTTACTGATTTCTAATCATTTTATTTTTGGCATGAATATTTTACTCAATAAGTCTTAAAAGGTAAGCGGTTCGAATCACGAAAATCAATATCAAAATAGGCCTATCAAACCTAAACGCTATCTCAATTTGAGATGATAATTTAAGAGAAGCCAAATCCAAATAATAAATAAATAAATAATTGTTTCATAATTGATTCTATTTGGATAAGTTTCATAATCTATTTTTTGAAAAAATATTAAAATTAATTTAGTGCAAAAAATTAAAATAAAACACTTTTTTAATATATATTTTCTTTATTTTGGAACAAAATTAATTTCAATTAAAAAAATTGTTTTAATAATTATTTTTGTCAAATAATTATTAATTTTTCAAGAAAATGGTCACAATTCAACCACACTGCCTGGGACACATTGTTTTGAGGTGCCGCCCTCTATTTCTGTCCGGTAGTGTTACATGCATCAATTAATATATTAATGAAAAAATTATTTATAAATCCTATTAGAGAGACTTAGGCTACATATGGTCTTATTAAAAAACTTATGTTCCCATAAGTCCTGTGAGAAGTTTGTTGACACATTTACCCTCAATATTAGTTGTTAATATCATAAATAATAGTAAAACCATATATAGGAAATTGAATGTTACCATAAATCATAGGTATCACGTTACGTTTATATAGGTGTCATGTTACGTATAGGTGTCACGTTACGTTACGTTTATATAGGAAATTGCATGTTACCATATATCATATCTACATAAACGCAATATAACGTGACACCTACATAAACGTAACGTGGCACCTATGATCTATAGCAACATTCAATTTCCTATATTGAAAATTAAATGTTACCATAGATCATATTTACATAAACGTAACGTAACGTGACACCTACATGAACGTAACATGACACCTATGATCTATGGAATAGGAAATTGAATGTTGCCATAGATCATATTTATATGAAACGTAACGTGACACCAACATAAACTAGCAACATTTTCACATTCAATTTAAAAAAATAAAAACTCATTAAGTTTGCGAAACGTAACGTGACACGTTACGTTACGTTTATGTAGGTGTCACGTTACATTTGTGTAGGTGTCACATTACATTACGTTTATATAAATGTCACGTTATGTTACGTTTATGTAGGTGTCACGTTACGTTACGTTTATGTAAGTGTCACGTCACATTACGTTTATGTAGGATCTTGTGGAATACATTCCTATCTAAATAGGACTTGAGACTCTATAGAAATTACACAGGACTTACCCTACCATAAGTGTCTGAGAAAGGACTTATAAATAAGTCTCCGTATATTA